AGTTTCTGTACTCGTTTCACTTGACTTGTTGAAACAGTGATGTACTTTCCTCTTGATGTAAGAATCTTAAGTCTTTGGATTAATGACCTTCACTACCCTGCTCGGTTTGTGAAAGTGGTCACGTAAAGTCCCTCCAAGATAGGAATCCCCCTCTGCATAATCACACTTATTATTCAGGGAATGACTTGCATTATAATCAGTAATCATAGTCTAAAGCTTCACTGAAATCTTCCAGTCGGAGTTTGTGTGATTGGGTTGATCATATGCCTACCATGAAACAGGCAAAACGGAGTCAACCTGGGTCTATTGCTGAGGGTTCGGTTATTCAACACCATCATTACCCAGGGAATCCTTTCATACCATCTGGAGCCTTTTTTTATACAGGCTTTCTTCAAAGCACTCTTAATAATACCGTTGATTATTTCCACTTTACCAGAGTTTTCTGGGTGGTACAGTGCATGTAGATTGTGCTTAATGCCTAAATTTTGAGTAACTCAGCAGTGAAACGATTGTCTCTATCGGATTCTAATAATTTCATTCCACTATTAGGAGGTATTAGCTCCTCAGTTATTATCTTCAACAGTTTTTGTAGTACACCATTTGCAAGGGTACCCAATGGTAAAACCGGTTGTGTGATCCACGAAAATAAGGATGTACCGATTACCTCTGGCATTTTAGGTAAGCGTTCGACAAAGACTAAATAGACCCTTTCCCATGACCTTCCCATTTTAACCTTTTCCAAAGTATTGTTTTTAGGTACGGTGGATACACCTCATGCACTCTCCCACGTAACTTTTTAACTCCCTCTTAACCGCAGGCCACCAGTATTCATGTAGATTGGCTCAGGTTCCCTTCACCCCGTTATGCAAATTTCCAGGACCTTCATGTGCCAGGTGATCAGATAATCCTGTATCCGTTTTGATGGGATCAGTTGGTTCTTGCTTCCCTATTGCCAGTATAGCTGTAAGCCCTTTACGACCAAATGTTTCCCCTTTGTCCAATTTGGAAGGCTTCCATTCTGTCCTGACTCTTTAGGGCTCTGAGACGCTACCCTGCGTGGAGGGTGCTCCATAAGTGCAAGTTGTTGCTGTTTGACTCCATGTTTGCCGCTATCGTTGTCACTACAGGGTGGTTAGTATAACTGTTGTTAATAACTTTCTTTGAAAATATATATTTATTTATAAATATATTTAGTAAACAGATCCAAAACAAACACAACATCTTCTGGTTCAATTTTTCCCTTTTCTCCCGATACAAAAAACATTCCGTTGTTTACGGTACATTCCTTCATCACACATAGGTTGTGCACACATTTTTTGGGACGCTCCCTTTAACACAGTGGGGAGTCCCACCTGTGTACAACACATTCATGTGCGTGCCCGCACACACTCTGATAAGGTACCTGGTTTCGGGAGTGACAAAGGGGCTCCTTTACTGAGTTTATGATCCTCCTGTGCGGTGGACTGCGTGGAACGTTTCAAGGCAGTTCTGCCAGACCCATCTTTCTTAGCACTGGGTATGGGTAGAAACCCAGCACGTAGCGGCATTTGTTGCCGGTGTAGCGGGGCTCCAGGCACAGCCTCAGGCATCTACACACAAAGGTGGCCATGAGGATCAGGGCTACGTAAGGGACCCCTTTCCCCGCCTTTTCCGGGGTGCATCGTGCCTCTGCGGACATGATCCATCTTGGACTCCCACATCATGGAAGACCTCTCTAGTGACTGCAATGGTGTTGTTCCTGGTCAAAGGCCAGACCTGGGCCACGTTCAATAACACCGAGAGGGCCTCACACTTTATCACCAGATCTTTCCCGGTGATGGGACAGCGAGCGCTGGCACCACATCACCAGTTTCTTCCTCACTGTGCCTAGACACTCCTCCTGGCTTTTTTGGTATGCCTCGGCAGCCCCAAATCAGATGCCGAAGACTTTGATGTAGTTTGGCTTCACTGCAAAAGGTATGTTAATAATGCCCATGATTGATATTTGTCCTACTGGCATCGGCTCATTTAAAAAACAAGCTGAGCATTCCAGCATATCAGCGTGATCATCGTCTGACGTATGCAATGCATCTTTATCGTGTCCTAAACTGTGACAAACTTGCACAAGAGGTTTGTCCTTTTCCTTTTTCCAAATTGACTGCCAAATTTGCTTGTGAACTAAGGGTTTTGCTTTGTGGTTAATCCAATTTTCATTAGCCCAATTGATCAGGTCATTACACAATGTTTTCATACATAAGCAGAATCTGAAACGATTATGCAATGGAAGAAGTTTTAACACCTCCAGCAGAGTAATGACTTCAGCTGCTTGTGTTGACGTACCGTTGCAGGGAATCGCATGGTTACCCAATTCTTCCCACCCTGCTGCCTTCCCACTGCAATGCCAATTCCTGCCTGTCTTTTGAGATCTATCAATTGGGCAGTCCCATCACAATAATTTACAGTCAGTCCCTCAACCAGTTCCCAGGGCTCAATCTCCACTGGGGGCTTACTCTCCGACAGCAAACACTCTAATTCAATATCTGACTCTTTAGTTTTGAATTCCCTGCATTGATGGCTCGTCTCCCATTGCGTTTTTAACTTGAAAACCGGGTGGCTTACTTTCAGTGGGAGATTACCCCTGTTCTATGACGAGGATGAGAGCTAACTTTCTTCAGTTGAACGTCAACAAGACCAAGGCCCTACTGATTGGCTCCCATCAGCACCTCCTCACCTCAAGCGATGACAGCATCACCATCCTATAATGCACACTCCACCTTACTAAGCCAGTCCGGAACCTTGGCATCTTGTTTGACCCTCAGTTATCCTTTCTACCCTACATCTGTGCCAAGACCTGCTCTGCCATCCCCCACCTCCGCAACATCACCCGACTCCACCACTGTCTCACAACGCAGGCCGCCGAAACCCTCTTACACGCTCTCATTGCATCAAGACTTGACTATGCAAACTCCGTGCTTGTCGGCCTCCCCAACTCCTCCCTCCACAGGCTGCAGATCATCCAGAACTCTGCAGCTTGTGTCCTCTCCAACATCATGCTCTGTGACCCTATCACCTCCATCCTCACCCGCCTCCACTGGCTTCCCATAACACAGAGCATACACTTCAAGATCTTGGTCCTCACCTTCAAAGCCCTCCATAGCTTTGCTCCCCCTACCTCTGCAACCTCCTAACTCCTTACCAACCTGCTCGCTCCTTCCGCTCAGCGGGTACCGGACTGCTTCACATCGCCCCATCATTACCAGGCGAGCCTTCAGCCACTCTGCCTCCACCCTCTGGAACTCCATCCCGCTGTCTCTTCTCCTCGCCCCTCCCTTGCCTCCTTCAAGACCCGTCTCAAGACCCCCCTTTTCGACCATGCCTTCGATCACCCTCCTTCCCACACCTGCCCTCCACCCTCCTAGATCCTGACCCCCAGCTCAGGTCCGAAACATTAATTGTCCAGCGCCTTGGGACGTCCGCCCGACTTGAAAGGCGCTCTACAAGTGTAATTGTGTTGTTGTCCTTGTGTGTACTTATGTAGCTTTATTCTTCAATTTTTACAGATCCCTCTGCTGGGGAATCTTTTATTTTGACGACTCTTCTTGGCAGGGTTGCCACGTGGCTTCGGCCCTGCGCCACTTCCTTTATTTTTTACATTTTGCACACGGATGGGTTGAGGCCCCATCATGTTAAGCGGTTTATAAGTATTATTTGTTTTACTTTCATGGTTCTCAGACCGTTTTTCTCGATCTACAAACACATCATCGATATGATAATATCGATAATGTTTCTCTGTGCGTTTGACAAGACATTCCAAATGCTCTACCGCCAAAGATCGAATGAGAGTATAAATCCCCTCCTCATCTGAGACATTGCCATGAGAAACATCTCGCCCCACAGTTCTGTAGAGAACTATTCAGTGACTTTGGAAGCTAGGACCCTGGGGCGCCCCCGGCCTAAAGTCCTGATCAGCGCAATTTTTTCAGAAAGCCCTTTCTCCCTGATTATAGTTCATTTAATATCACTGAGAGGGCTGCCACCAAATCGTCCCGTTCCGGATCTATTAGGTCCATCCGATGCTGCTAATTACAGATGGGAGGTAGATCTGAACAGCCGCTTTATTGGCAGTGACTAAATTTGCAATAGGAATTGTGAACGTTAACCACCCTTCAATCTTTTTTTCAGGCATAATATCTGTTAATAATTTTAAACCTAAAACGCTTTGTGTTTCAGATTGTAAATGAACATGGCATTCGGCCGTTCTTGCAGCGGGGATTGTATTTGTTGTGGCTGTAAGTCCTCCGCTGGGTGTTTCTACTGTTTGACAGCTTGTTTTTTGTTATTGTATGAGAGCCTGTTGCTCTCTTTCTGTTTTAAGGTTTCAATTAAAAACTCTGTTTTAGAGAATTGCTGCTGCCCTCTCTCCACCTCAGCCCGAGTTTCTTAAACTAACAATTGTTTTTTATAACATATTTGTCTTGAATTTTAGCAGAGGGCATGGTAGGTCCCCAACTGATGCATGTCTGAGATCAGCTAACTCAATACCACCTGTGAATCAAGCCTATAGGCCTTTTAGCTAATTATTACAGCTATCAGTGCATTTTACCCACTTTATCAGAGAACCGAGGCAAGAACGATCCACCTGCCAGTCAAAACAGTATAACTGGAACAAATAAACTAATTTGAGAATGGAAAAACATTCTTTTAATATAAGTTGAGAAACAATTTCAGTATAAAAGCCAAAAAGAAGGAAGATTCCAAGAATATAACTCCAAAATGACAAAGGACAAAATGTTCCCTTTTCCCGCCAACATTGTTCTCCCCCTTTCTCCTCCTTCACCCTCCCCCCAGTAACAAGTTCACCACAAGTTATGTAAAAGCACTACTAATTCTAAGAGCTAACGTTTTAAAGTCAAATGAATGCATGGCACAATCTCTTTGTTTCTCACATCCGAGGTTGGTGCAAGAGAAACTTTCCAGTTACTGATACCTTTGACTTATCGACTTGTACCTTGATCTCTTACCTGATGTGTGACATCGCCCACAGCCTGTATGAACTGGTCAAGCTCTTGGCCAATGGATACGTATTCCAGAATCACATTTTCCAGGTTGTTTACTTCTTCCACCTCACCTGCGTAATACATATAACAATACATTAGGCACTGCAACAAGGATGTAATTTTACCCTTTGTTGCTTTTGTGGCCTTTCGATATCTGGAATGCCAGGAACAATAAATAACAACAAAATGACATTTGTATAGCGTCTGTTGCGTCGGGAGGACATACCAAGGCACTGGACAATCAGTGTTTTGGACCTGAGCTGGGTGTCGGGATCGGGGAGGGTGGGGGGCGGGGGAAGGAGGGTGATCAAAGGCACGGTCGAAGAAGAGGGTCTTGAGATGGGTCTTGAAGGAGGCAAGGGAGGGGGCGAAGCGGAGGGACTGTGGGATGGAGTTCCAGAGGGTGGGGGCAGAGTGGCTGAAGGCCCGCCCGGCAATGGTGGGGTGGGCGAGGCGGGGGACATGAAGCAGGCTAGAGCCCGCTGAGTGGAGGGAGCAGATAGGTTGGTAGAGGATTAGGAGATCGCAGAGGAAGATAATAACAATAATCCTTGCATTTGACTTTTCACTTCTTCTAGATGTCCCAAAGCGCTTCACAGAACATACTGTAAAGTGAATTGACTGTATATTTGTGGGCGAAAAGTGGCAGCCAATCGTGCACAGCAGTGTCCCACAAACAGTCGTGGATTCAAATAATCATTTTTTTTAGATGGGAGCAAGGCCATGGAGGGCTTTGAAGGTGAGGACCTGGATTTTGAACTGTATCCTCTGTGTGACGGGAAGCCAGTTGAGTCGGGCGAAGGTGGGGGTGATAGGGTCATGGAGCCTGCTGCAGGAGAGGACACGGCTGCAGAATTCTGGATGATCTGCACCCTATGGAGGGAGGATTTGGGGAGGCTGACAAGCAGGGGGTTTGTGTAGTTGAGCCTGGATGTTATGAATCCCTGTATGAGGGTTTCAGCGGCCTGCGGTGTGAGACAGTGACGGAGCTGAGCGATGTTGCGGAGGTTGGCAAAGGCTGAACGGGTCATGGCACGGATGTGGGGTATGAAGGACAGTTGAGGGTCGAACAGGATGCCAAGGTCTGTATTGGCTCTGTGAGATGTACAGTGCATCCATGGAGAGAGATGCTGTCAAGCGCCCGAGGTATGGAGGCGCTGACGGGAGCCAAGCAGGAGGGTCTTGGTCTTGTTGACAAAGGAAGCAAGAAGTGGGCTTGGGAAAGAAAATCATAACCTGTCACACAAGAATTAAAATAAATATATTAACATTCAAGTCATGTTAATAGAATATGAGGTACCAACGTTGCTACAATTATACAGTAAATATCAAATACCATCCATTTCTGACAAAACAAAATCAAGAGTTTAACTGAAGACCTCAACTTGAAGTTTTTCAAATTACAGTACATCAAAAAATACAACCTAATCCATGCCAACTTCACTAAGCTGTAGAGATAAGCAAACCAAAGCAAACCAAGCGTTGGGGTTCATTTCTAAAGGGATAGAAATGAAAAGCAGGGAAGTTATGCTAAACTTATATCAAACCTTGGTTAGACCACACTTGGAACACTGTGTACAGTTCTGGTCCCCATATTATAGAAAGAATATAGAGGCACTGGAGGAGGTGCAAAGGAGATCTACAAGGATGATACCGGAACTGCAAGGTTATACCTATCAGGAAAAGCTGAACAAGCTTGGACTCTTTTCTCTTAAAAAAAGAGTGAGGGGTGACTTAACAGAGGTCTTTAAAATGATGAAAGGTTTTGATAGGGTAGACATAGAGAAGATGTTTCCACTTGTGGGAGAGACCAAAACCAAGGACCATCAATATAAAATAGTCACCAATAAATCAAATAGGGAAGTCAGAAGAAACGTCTTTACCCAGAGAGTGGTGGGAATGTGGAACTTGCTACCCAAGGCCAAGGGGTATTTGAAGCAAATAGCACAGATGCAGTTAAGTGGAAGCTAGATTAGTACATGAGGGAGAAAGGAATAGAAGGTTATGCTTGAAGGCTTAGTTGAGGAAGGGCAGGAAAAGGCTCATGCGGAGCATAAATGCCGGCATAGACCAATTTAATAATAATCCTTGCATTTGATATAGCGCTTTTCACGTCGGGAGGACGTCCCAAAGCGCTTCACAGAATATACTGTAAAGTGAATTGACTGTATATTTGTGAGTAAACGCGGCAGCCAATTGCGCACAGCAATGTCCCACAAACAGTCATAGATTGAAAATTACCAATTTATTATTGTTTTTGCTTTTGGAGGGATTATTATTAGGCTCTGTGTGGAGTAAGGAAACTTGCCCAAGGTTTCGCCCTCTGCCTGGAATTGAACTCAGGTCTCTCGCTTGCAAAGCGAGTGCTCTAACCACTGAGCTACAGGACTCCACGAGTTTGGCCGAATGGCCTGTTTTTGTACAGTATGTTCTATGTAATTCTAGTATGCAAATACCAACTTTCCTTGTTCTTAATGAGATATACTCTACAGCGTTTCATTTTTAAAAAATCATATTATAAGTAATTTAAATAATGAACTATGGATTTAGATTCCAGATGTTATTCTTCCTCAGCTAAATATCTGTAGAGTAAATTATAGCTCAACTTGAAATGTTTGAAATCCCTACAAAGTAATCGTGAGACAATAGCTGCTATGAGCAGACAAGAAGGATCTTCAACAAGGATTGACAAGATCTATTATTGGTATAATTTTCTGGAATCTGTCACAGGTCTAAATAAAAGTGTTACATAACAAAGGAAGCTGCAAACTGAAAGTGAAATGCCTTCAGGCACAAACATCTGGTACCTCAGAAATGGCTGTAATAAAAATGTCCATCTTCTGCATCTAACACTGCCATTTCCAAAACTATACAACATTAATAATAACATATTTGCTAACAAAAGTACCATGAAGCAAACCGTCTTTAAAAGGTAGCATTTAAATAATTTCAATAAATATGGTACAATAACCAGTTTGATTGCAATTAAAACTAAATTGTATTCCAACTTAATACTTTACTTCAGTTTTCACAAAAGCGACTGACAAAAAAAAGAATAATAGATGATGTAGGGCAGCATCGTCCAACAGATAGCAGGACTAGTAATTTTATGCGGCCTGCAACCATTTTCACCATTCGAACTTCCACTCCCTCCCTGGTGATCGTCCTCACAGGGCAGTGGCATGAACTGGCGGTTGGGAGGATGCAGCGTGCAGAGCCTTTACTGCAATCTTTCAGGAAGGCAAGTGCATCTCTTACCAACTGCGTCCTTAGCAACCAACCACAGACGCCTGCCGCTGCAGATAGTGACCCGCGCTTGGGAGAGATTGGGAGAGAAACAACAACAAAATGACATTTGTATAGTACCTTTCACGTTGGGAGGACGTCCCAAGGTGCTGGACAGTCAGTGTTTTGGACCTGAGCTTGGGGAAGAGAGAGAGGACAGGGGGAGTGAGAGGAGGGAGGGGGGAGCGAGAGGAGGGAGGGGGGAGCGAGAGGAGCCAAAAGGTTGGACCACCATGGTGTAGGGAATGAAACAAGGGCAGTTATGATAGAAAGCAAAGAGATACTAGATAAATTAAGACAAACGTAAAGAGAACAGAGCACCAGGTCCAACTGGACTGCACCCGAGGAACCTTAAAGAGATAAAGTGGTGTGGTAGATAGCTGAGGCACCTTGATCAGACTACATTTGGAGTACGGTATACAAATCGTTACACAAAGCAAGGAATATTTAGAGTTCTGATCACCATATTATAAGAAGGATATTATAGCATTGCTGAGGACAATGTAGACTTACAAGTATGTTTCTAGGGTTGAGTGGATACAGCTATCAAAAAAGATTGTGCAAGTTGCTGATTTTTTTTCTCTAAAGTTGAGATGGTTGAGACCTGATGGACGTTTAAGGTTATGAAAGCATTTGTTAAGGTGGACAATGATAGGCCGTTTCCACTTGTTGGCAAGTCCAAAACAAGAAGGCATGAATAGAAAATACTTTGTTGGGAGGAAGGTTAGGAGGAACATCTTTGCATAGAGGGTGATCAGAATGTGGAACTCACTGTCAGAAGCTGTGACTGAAGCAAACACCATCAATGTATTTATGAGAAATCTTGGGGCATACATAAGGGAGAAGGGTATAGAGATATATTGGAGAGAGGAGTATGAGGGGTGGGAGCTTGACTAGTTGGGCTGAATGGCCTACACCCGTTCCCTATCGCTCTAGCTAATGATGGAAATCCACTTTGTTAGGGAATTATCACTCGATTACAATTTTAAACACTATTCTCACATGATTTTGTGCTGTTATTTGAAAACTTTTTATATAGTTTTTGCCAGAGATCACAATCAAGAAATCTGGACAAGTACACTGACACAATGTGCTTCATACGATTAAAAGCACTTTCATGATGATTACAGAAGCATCACAAGTGCTCCATTACAGAACGTATATGAATGACATGGATATGGACATAAAGGGGGTTACTTCTAAGTTAGCAAATTATATTACATTTATTTAAATTGGGTGGACAACCTAATTGTAAGAATTTAAATTTATGTGAGATGCAGTTTAACACAATAAATGTGAAATACTACATTGGCTGGATAAAGAATAAGGAGTAAAATTATAGCTCAAAGCATAAGACATTCAATGGTGGGAAGGAGCAGAGGGATCTGAGAGTACAAATACATAAATCACTAGGAGTGAGGCGGCAGATTCCAAAAAGCTATCAAGAAGGCAAATAGGTTATACGATTGATAAATGGGGTTAATGAACATATAAGTAGGGAAGCATGTTGAAATTGTATAAGATATTGGTTAGGCCGCAATTGGAATACTGTTATCCATTTTGGGTGACCCATTACAAGAAGGATGTCAGCAATGAAGAGAGTGCAGTAGAGATTCAATGATATTTGACAATGTACTTATAAAGATTATCTGGTTAAACTGGAGCTTTTTATACTAAATAAATGACTTAGTTCCCTAAAATTTCACTTTTCTATTGAAAAATACACAACACGGCATGCAGCAAATTCATACAAAGACTGAGATCTTGAAACTCAAAATTCTAACAA